TTTCCTATCTTCGCCAACAAAAAGTCTGTGGGGAACTTTTTCGTTGAAAAAACTTCCAGTGAGACATTTGTTCCTCACATATCGAAGAAATTTTGTGGAAAAATTCAGATCGATTTATTCAAAAATGACGAAGATACACAATTGAAAATATTTAGTTTTTTGCAATTATTGTCAAAACTATTCATTCTACAAAAAAAAGTTAAAGGAAAAAAAGATGCGCCGTTTTATTTTCTACAACGTAGTATATTTCAAAAATCAAAATTTTGAATTTTAATTTTTTCGACTTTTTCATTCGTTGACTGGCTTCAGCGCGGCCGGTCCGAGAGTCCGTCTGGTTATTGCATTGGTGTCCTCATTTGTTAAATCTAATCAATATCAGAGTACCGAGATTATCATCAAGACAAAATGAACCTTTTTATTTAACAAATATACCATCACCTTTAATGTTTACAGCACCTATTTTTTTTGCATGTTACAATATAAACAAATTATCCTCTACTTTTGAACCTGATATTGATTTATTTAACAAGTCACAATCAAAGTTTCTCGAAACTATTAATAAATACTTATTGTATAATCGTGAAATAAATTAAAATATTATGCTTTTTGTTGATGTTAATGTGTGAGTTTGACAATGCGCATATAATAATAATATATTTTAAATATTTTGATATTTTAAAATAATAAATTTTATAATTGTTTTGTTACCCATTTATGGTTCACTTCTGTGGACTGTGGGGAATGTATATCAATAAATAAATATGAAAAATGGGGCTATTTTAAGTGGGCTCATTCTCTAAAATTATTTTTTTAAGTGTCCATAAACTTAAACTGTTAATAAAAAAAATATTTTTGAAAAATCTTTTGATACAGTGATTTCTCACATAAAGCACTGTCAAAAAAACCCATATTTTAACGGAAAACAATTATTTAAGGTCTTGTGATTGTTGTATATTTTCACGTGTAAATATTCTCGGCAGGTTTTATTCGCAAAATACTTGAAAGATTGAGCTAAAATTTTGTGGTAAACTCAAAAATAGTATAAGAATTCGTTGTTATGTACCAGAGTATTAATATTGTCAAATAATTGCATATTTGAGGAAAATTGAATATGTCGACAATAAGGTTTTAGTAATTTCCTTCAATATGAAATGTTTTAAGAATTATTTTTTAAAAAAATTATTATTAAATTCTGACACATAACAATGAATCCTTATACTGTTTTTGGGTGTTCACCACCAAATTTTAACTCAATCTATCAAATATATTGCGAGAAAACTTGCAGAGAATATTAAATCTGAAATCACAACGATCACATGACCTTAATAATTTTGAATATAGCACATTTCAGAAATTCTTAATCTATATATAACCTATAAAAATTCCATTTTTTAATTTTCTTTACTAAAAATAACTTAAATTAACAGTTCTGATAGGACAAATTAAAATTCTTTTCTACATAAAAGAACGAGTATTTTTCTAAGATTTATTTTCATGTAAAATTATTTTAACGTTTAATAACAGAATTGAATACAATACCTTAACAACTTCTGTTTTATAACCTATAGTACTTATAACGTCTCCTGCTAAACCAACAACACGCTTAATTATATGTCTATCTGGTGCATTTGGTGATACGAATGTAATAATATCCCCACGATTAATATTATAATTACGTATTGCCCAGTGATTTAAAAATATAAAATCAACAGTATTTATATCTGGATTCAATGTTGGTTGCATGGATTTTCCATCTACACGAACAATAGTACCGAATGTATCCAAAATACAAGGTTTAAATGCAAACCCAGCTGCAGTTCCTAAAACGATTCTACATAAATTGACCAATATTGCCATATGATGTTCTTGAAGAAAATAAATAAATACTTCACAGGACAATGTTATTTTTTTTTGTTCTTTTCTTTTATAAAATTACAATTAGAAAACAGAACGACTAGAACATTTGAAATGAGGAACTTTTTTGAACCTAAAAGAAGCAATGATATTATTAAACCTAGATGTGACGATGAGTAGTCGAAATTGGTCCTAGGGTTTTGGTTGGTTTCTATTGTCCCCACTCGCTATTTATCGTTGTCACGTTCTAAACTTAAGGCCAACACACAATAGCTTCGCAAAAGCACTGAACCACTGAACTATATATATCTGGAATGCTATCTGCCATTGATGATTGCGAACCGAGAGAGAGGGCTAATTTTTGTATTCCTCTCCTTCTCTTGCTAAACTGCGCAGGCGTAATACAATACGTTCCAAAAGTTTACTGTTAACTGTGTTATGTCATGTTCACGTATGCATACTGTTAAATATTTTCTAATGGACCTGTACCGATAAAGAGGGGAATACAAAAATCAGACCTCTCTCTCGGTTCGCGACTTTCAATGGCAGACAGCATTCCAGTTATATAGAGTTCAGTGCGCAAAAGTCGTTCGCAAACGAGATGCATGAGATAGAAAAGGATACGAATATATCTCTGTCCTTTTCTAACTCATTTTTCACGTTCGCGAACATCCTTTATTATCCGCTTAAACGCGGAAACTGAATTTAGATTCAAATTAAATTTGGAAAACCCCATTTCGGGTGAAAAAACCAATTTTATTCAGTTTGAAGATTGAAAATTAACAAATTTAATAATGCTCAGTTGAATTGTAGAATTATCATTATTGTTTTGCAAATTTAAATAAAATTTCAATTTATTTGATGATTCACAATAGTTGATTAATATAACAATTAAAGAATTGTTATTCGTCTTTAAATGTTTGAATATTGTTCACAATACTTAATTGAAATTATTTACAATATAATATTTATTATAATTACTCTAAGTTAATTACAATACTTAGTTTGAAAATCAGAAGTTGCGCGCAAAACACCTTGCTTCTAAAGGCGCTCTCACACCTTTTTGGCTGCCTGCAGGTTACCATGGCAACGCATGAGAGTGAGTGCGACAGAAAATTTAAAAATTTGAATATTCAAATTTTCTGTCTCACTCACACTCGTGCGTTGCCATGGTAACCTGCAGGCAGGCAGGCAGCCAAAAAAGGTGTGAGTGCGCCATAACAATTCTCAAAATGTTCTACAATTCAAGCCGAAGATGCTCGCTTAATTTATATACTTTCGTTAGTGGGAGGAGTTTTATCCCCTCTTAGTCATTCAACTAATCAGAGCGCTCATGTCGTGCTTTCCAGCCAATAAATCTCAACGGCTCAAGGCCAACTCGTGAATAATCGTTACGATCTATGCTACGCAGTTCACGAGAAAAATCAATAGATGCTATTTTTAGATTGAAATACATGGAGCAGATTAGCAGAATAAGATTTTTGAATAAAAAAAAAATAACAAAAAGGCCTAAGCAGAATAGATTCTTGAATGGGAACACAATCGTAAAGGTTTGTTTCCATTGTCCCCACTCGCCAATGGTACACGACAGAAGTATACTCGCATACGGTGAGGTATACAAGCGCCTTAAGGTATCACATCGGTACAGTGGCGCACATTGGTTTTCGGAGAAGGGGAGCGGCGCTAACTTCTTGGGACCCCCCCCTGCAAAAATTCTGACAAGCAAAAAAAATTGCATGAAGGCGTAAAGTGTCATTTCCCATGTAACTTACAAATGGTTTCACCCTTTTTCTAAAAACAGAACATTTTGATAATTGTTTAATCAAAGTTAAAAATACGCGTGTTCATGCAATTTTTCAACTCAATATGTTTCAGCTCATTTTTATATGTAAAATTTTAATTTTTTATTTATATTTTTATCCACCCTCTGGACACCACCCACCCTTAGACCAGGGGGAGCGGCCGCTCCCCCTGCTCCAGCCGAGTGTGCGCCACTGCATCGGTAAAACCGTTTTCTATAAATTTTTTTGAAAATTTTACCATATGTTCTTATTATCATTCTTGACAAATTTGCAAAATATGAAGAATTTTCGCCGTACGAAACCAGAGATATTAGCAATCAAAGTTGCTTATTTTGCATGGGAGACGGGACTAATGTATGGGGGAGAAGTACATTTTCATAAATATCATCAGAAGTTTTCTATAAATTTTTTTCAAAAACTAATGTTGAATTCACGAATAAATTTGGAACTAAAATATACAAAGAAATTTATAATTTACCGTGCCGTATATTTGTAATTATAAATTAAAAATTCTATTTCATGACGTCATTTGCAATATATAGCACACCCGCCACTTTGATGTGGCAACATCCCAGGATGGTAACATTAGTTAGAGAGAGACAGTAGTCCACAGTAGTCAAAGCGAGACTTATAGCGACGTTGTCAAACCTCCTACTCCTTCTAATCGCTGCTAGTGTGGGGTATACGTGTACGAGTGTATTTGTAGAAGTTGGTACAGTATGGGCTGAGAGTATAGGGAATTGAGGGCGAAAGTATACTGCGGGAAGTAGTAATGCGAGCTACAAACTTTTGACTCCGATTAGTGCCGATGTGATACCTTAAGAGTGAGAGAAATAAAAAATGTTCTTATTTTGCTCACTCTTATACGTTACCATGACGATCCAACGTAGATAGCTGAGATGTGGCCGTACCCAAACGGAAACGTAAGAATGAGTAAGAAAAGGATAGCAAATATCTTTATTCTTCTCTCACTCATTCTTACTTTTCCGTCCACAATTGCGTTCCCGTTCAAGAATCTATTCGGCTGTTTCCGAATTGGGATTTTTATAGCGCTTTTTTGGTAAAGTGTTTACTCTGGAAGTATGTAGTGTCCTTGTTTTTCTGTGCGAAAAAAAGAAAAGTATAGTGCATACTTCCCGAGTATACAGTTTATCAAAAATGCGCTAAAAATCCCAATTCGGAAACGACTTTCTGCTTCGGCCTAAACACAGCTTATCAACGTAGTCATTGTAAACACTGCTTGACAAAGAGTCGGATTTCGGAGATTCCACTTAAAACTGCACCTTCATGTTACTAAAATACTCTATTGTAAAAACGGCTTATTATGTCGATGTTTTCAATAGAGCAAAAGAGTCAGTTGTAGATACTCAATATTCTTTGACGTGATAAGCACCGGCATAACAAGCAAAAGCATTTTCTTATATTAAAATACTTGAAAGTATTCAATTTTATTTTTTCTGTTTTTAATCTTGATTCTAAATTTAATATTTATCATAGTTGTGTGACTGTTGAATAACGTATAACAAAAATTTTTATTAGTAGTTTAAAAAAAAAGAAGTTGAAATGGCTACTGTTTCATACCAAATATCAAATTTGCTGGAAAAGGTATATTAAAATTTTACTTTTACCAAATTTATTTTTCTATATAACTATCTTTTAATTGTAATTCAAAACAATTTAGCTTAGAAATTCGCATTGAATTTAGAAATAACCTTATATTAATTTAATTTCTAAATTTTTTTAATTGAAAAAATTAACTTTTGAATTTTTCATGCAGAAAATTGAAAAAAATTTTATAATTGTTTTTCAAATTTTGAATAAATAATTTAATTTTTGGAGTTAAGAAATTTTGTAAACTGATAATATTTTTGTCGTTTCTATTTTTTTTTTTTTTTTTTTTGTTTAAAGATGTAAAAAATTATTTAATTTCATTTAATCCCTTATTTTTTAGCAATATTTTAAGTGTTAATATTTTCTTCATTTATGTTATTTATAATTGCTTGCTTTACTGTATAAGATTTGCATTGGAAAATGCATTGTTTAAATTGATTGTAATAAAAAAAAATTGCTATTTAATATTATAAATCTTTCTGTAATTAATAATTAGATTTTTTATTTTAATATTATAGATGACATCCAGTGATAAAGATTTTAGGTTTATGGCGACTAATGATCTGATGACAGAACTGCAAAAAGATAGCATAAAATTAGATGACGATTCTGAGAGAAAAGTCGTTAAAATGCTTTTAAAATTATTAGAAGACAAGAATGGTGAAGTACAAAATCTTGCTGTTAAATGGTATGAAATTTATTAAATCAAATATTTACTGTTTACTTAATGGTAAAATAAAGTTTTTTTCATTGTTAAAAGTTAAACTGTGAAGAGAATTGAAAATTTTTTATTACAAATTTCATTTCTGTTATATTCTTTTTAATTCAATAAGAAAAAACAAGTTGTTCATTTCATGACCATTTAACTTTCTCATCATGATAAACATTTATTTATTTATTGAAATACATCCCCGCAGTCCAAAAGAGGACCATAAATGGGTAACTAAAGATTACAAAATTATAGAACAAAATAGAATATATAACGTAGTTTAACTTAAAAAATGAAGTTACTGATGCTCTCTTAAACTGACAACATATTTTTTCACACATTCAATAAATTTCGCTTGTGACGCTACAAATAAGTCCATATTAGGATGAAAAGAATTATACATTTAATTAATATGGTTGCACGCAAAGAAAATTGTCGAGGTAACAATTAGGTTTAAGTCATTTTGGTTTATGTAGAAAGGTGCATCATCTCTAGATGATGTACGAGGAACTTTAAAATTGATCAAATTTAAAAGATTTACACTGACGAAATGATAATTTATTATTTTAAATATAAAAATAGCTGCATTGATTATGCGTTGCTCTTCTAAAGAATTCAATTTTTTGTTAAAAATAAAAATAACGATCAAGTTTATAAATATTGGTAAAATGAAAACTTTAAATACACATGATGGCCAGCCAACCGGGAGAAAGCCGGGACTGAAAAATTAATCCGGGAGATTTTATGGGTTTTGTGATTCGCGCAATTATTCGAAAATTGTTCAACTTTTAACCATCTAAAATTTCGTGTTAATTATGAAAAATATATATGAGCAATTCCACGTGAGATTGAAGGGTCTATCCTCAGATTCCTTCTATACTATGTCTAATCTAATTCTGTGTCAAAAAAAGAATATTAAGTATTACTAAAAATCGAAAATTAATTATAATATGTTATTTAGAGAAAGACTGAAAAATACCGTGCCGAGAAAGTAGGAAACCCCCGTTAAGTAAACGGAGCCCGATAATAAGTTCAAAAATTAATAACAAATTTTATTTTTTAAATAAATAAAAAAATTAAAAAATTTTAATTTTTCAAAATTAATTTTTTTTCTTAAACTTCAATATTTTCTGAGCAAAAAACGTTCAGGAAACTTTTTTCTAGGACTAAAAGTGAAAAAGTTATGTGTAATTAAAAAAAAAGTTGCACTAATTTTTTTAATGCAAATATCTCGAAAAATAATAAATATTTTTTCCAAAATTTTATTTACTCAATTAGACCCATAACCTCTATCCAAAAACGTAGTATAGAAGGAATCGGAGGATAGACCCCTCAATCTCACGTGGAATTGCTCATATACCATCAACAAAAATTAGCTATTTTTATTCCTCACAATACAAAATTTTTTATGAGCCAAAAGTTTTGAACGTTCAAATGAACGAAATTTTTTTTTGTAACTTCTTTAAGTACGAATTTTATTAAAAAATATTGTTTTAAAAATCTAAAAAGAAGTTATTTAATTTAATAATTGTTTAATTTACTGTTTTATTTTACAATGACATCATAATTTTTTAATAATTTATAGATTGAAAAAAAATATTTCGTTCATTTGAACGTTCAAAACTTTTGGCTCATAATTTTTTAATTCTACACTGAAAGAAAATATATAACAAAATTTCGTAAATACTTTTCAATTTAGGGAAAATGTGTCAAACTGGAAAAAAATGATATAAAATATATTAAATCTCAGTAAAGATTTTGTATGATTACTATAAATTATGTTGAAGTTCGTAAATATTTACTAAAATTTGAAATGCATTTCTTAAAAACTGAAAAATATTTTCAGAAGTATATTATTTTTTGTATCAATATTTCCCATTTTTACACGTTTTCCCTAAATTGAAAAATGTCTACTATACTTAATAAAATTTGTTATATTTTATTTCAATGTACTTCATAAAACTTAAATTTTATAAATTTTCATAGAGTTCTTTTGGTATTCATTACTTTTACAATTGCATATTATATAAATATAATATATTTGTGTACAGAAAAAATGTATTTTAAAACCGGGAGAAATCTCTAATTTCTACCGGGAGAACCGGGAGGCAAAAATTCTAAAAATAGTGTCCACCCTGATACATCAATCGATTTGTTTTGATGACAGAAATATAATTTTGACAAGAATTAATTAAAATTTCTATATAAAAAAAAAGGTATTTCAAAAAATACAAAAAATGATTTAATCTATAGATTTCAGTAAAATATGAGGTTTATCTAAATTAATCGATTCGTTTCATGGAAGAAATAAGTTTTTTTTATCCAACAAAATTAAATTTACGATGAAAAAATTTTTTTGTAAAAAAATAAATTCTTCAAATTTTGAAAAAGTTTTAAAGAAAAAACTATTGTGGATATATTCATAAATCCTTGTGTCAAATTTTATAGGTAATAACAACTTTAAGAAACCTACGAAATTTAAGGACAATCCGTCAAAACGTTTCTGAGATAATTTGTACACTATATTTTGTGACACACACACACACACACACACACACACACACACACACACACACACACACACACACACACACACACACACACACACACACACACACACACACACACACACACATACACACACACACACACACACACACACACACACACACACACACACACACACACACACACACATACACATACACACACACACACACACATACATACATACATCTGAAAATAAATAAAACAATAAACAAAGATTTTTTTAAAGCTTATATCATCTACTTTTATAGATTATTTAAAAAATGAATTAAAAAAAAAATTTATTGCTTAATTTTCAATTTTTTTTGGTAAATTTTAAACTAATATATTTTTTTAACAAATCATCATATTTTAATTGCACATATAGCATTTGGAAGGTAATTTTATCATCTTTAAAACGCTCTTTTAAAAATTGTGATACGATAATTTTTAACTCTTGCGTGCCTGAGCTGGATCTCTTGGACCCAGACAATTTGCTTTTTCAACTACTTCTATTTAAGAAATTTTTTTTTCAAAATCGTTATCAAATTGGAATAAATAAATTTTGTAGGTTTTAAATTTTTTCTTGTAAATTGATATCTCATCTTTCAGAAAGTATGATTAATAATATTATTAATAAATTCTTTTTGATCATTTAGTTAGATTCTATTACTTAATGAATATGGATAAAATTTCTGTAATTTTATACTATACTATTTAGGGTTAAATTGGGTCCTTGAGATATCACCAAAAATGTATATGTAAACGTTCCCTAATTACCGTTTCAAAAGTTTAGAAAATATTTTGAAGTTTTAAAAAACTGGATTTTTCTTTTTCCTATTCAATGTGCGGTTATGACATCTTGAAAATTAATTATTTTTAAAAATTGTTGAATTTCTTCACAAATTTAATTATCTTAAACTATTTTTTCATTAAAAATGTTATAAATTAAATTCAACAATTTTTTACAATTTAAAGAAAAATCAAATAAAATTACAAAAAATTTCAATTTAAAACCTTTTAAAATTTTCCATTTAAAACTTTCTGAAATTTAATAATTTCAATTATAACTCTTCCGAAATTCAATTATTTTTAATGATTTTTATAATATTTTACAAAAATACAATTATTTCAAAACATTTTTCAATTAGAAAATTTTAAAGTTCTATTTTTGTCTGTAATTTCTAATTAATTCTTCATCAACAGAAATCACAAAAAAATTCAATTAAAAATCACATATTAGGCTTATTATAATTTTATTTATTTTATTGAAAATATACGGGTAAAACCCCTTCGTACAAAGTACTATACATAAGGAATTGTATGAATTAAAACAAAAAATTTAGTTGGCCGCATTAACATTATTGTTGTTATTATCGTATAAAAGGTTACGCAGTTCTGTTATAAACGAGTTTAAAGAAATACCAAAGAAATTAACATTACTATTAAACTGATTTGCCTCCCTACGTAATCTGTTAATTACAGAATTATCTAAATAATCAGTTCTGCAGAAAGGAACATTAAATAATTGTGGATGTCTTTCGGATCTTTGCGGTATATGAAAACTAAATAAACATAAAAGTTTAGAGCAGTTAATAATAATAATTTAAAATATTTGTTTCCAGTTTGGGTCCTTTGGTAAATAAAGTAAAAGAATATCAAGTTGAGACAATCGTTGATGCTCTCTGCACGAATATGGTATCAGATAAAGAACAATTGAGGGATATTTCAAGCATTGGATTAAAAACTGTTATTTCGGAATTGCCACTTGGTTCAAGTGCTCTTGCTGCAAATGTTTGTAAAAGAATTACTGGTCGATTAAGTAACGCCATTGAAAAGGTTAATTTTAAATATTACATTAATATTTAGTGACATTTAAATCGAATCTTATTATTTTGACTAATGGATTGAATTATTTATTCTTATTTTACAGCAAGAAGATGTACCAGTACAACTTGAAGCTCTTGATATAGTAGCTGATTTACTTTCTCGATTTGGCTCGCTCATGGTAACATTTCATGTGGTCATTTTAGATGCTTTATTGCCACAACTTTCATCACCTCGACAAGCAGTTCGAAAGCGTTCAATTGTAGCTCTTAGTCATCTTTTGACTTCCAGCAACAGTCAGTTGTACAACAAAATTCTTGATCACCTTATAAAGGTTCTTTCAAGTAATAAAGCCAGAAATGTTATTCGTACCTATATTCAATGCATCGCTTCCATTTGGTAAGTTTTTCTTTTTCAAATCATTAATTATTTTTAATTGTATTGACAATTTTTCTAAATATGTGTAATTTTTAATTCTAGCCGTCAAGCAGGTCATCGATTTGGAGAACACATAGAAAGGATTATGCCTTTAATTGTGCAGTTTAGTACAGAAGACGATGATGAACTTAGAGAATATTGCCTGCAAGCATTTGAAGCTTTTGTCTACAGATGTCCAAAAGAAATTACACCTCACATTAATAAGGTTAATTTTTTGTCAATAGTAAATATAAAAATTATTAGAAAATTTTAAAAATTTAATTTCTTAAAGAAAGTCTCTTTACATAAATAACAATTGTAAAGTGGTTTTGTATTAATTTTTTTAGATTATCAGCATCTGCCTAATGTACATTACATACGATCCAAATTACAATTACGATGATGATGAAAATGATGCATCAGATGGAGATGGTATTGTAATGGAAACAGAAGAAGATGGAGAAGAAGATGTCGAAGATGAGTATTCAGATGATGATGATATGAGTTGGAAAGTACGAAGAGCTTCCGCCAAATGTTTAGAAGCTGTTGTTTCGAGCAGAAGAGAACTTTTACCTGAATTTTATAAAGTCATTTCTCCTGCATTAATTGCTCGATTCAAAGGTTCGTTACATTTATTTATTAATGTTATAAATTATTACAAAACAGAATAAAAGGGACGCATGAATATTCCCTTCATTAGACTTGCCGCAATTTTTGTGGTGTCGAATTAAAAATTATCGAATTTACATTTAGTAGAATTTTAAAAGAGTAGATTTTATAATGAGCCCAATTTTAATATCGAACAATTTCTATTTAACAAAATTTATATCAAGAAAAATTTTCATAAAAAAGAATTCTTATTTATTAGAAATGTTCTTTTGTAGAATTTATATTTTTCCGAATATTCACTTAAAAGTATTTTTATTAACAGATTTTCCAATTAAAAGAATTCCTATATAAGAAAATTCTTATTTAACAAAAGTTTTATTCAAAAACTTTCTATACAATCTAATTTTTATTTAATAGAATTGTCATTTAACAAAAAATCTACTTAGCTTTTTCGAAATAACGTCAAAAAATATTTTTCTGTTATAACTTTATAAATCGCAAATAAATATTTTTAATTTTATTAAGGGAAGGGACCAGTGAAATTTTAATCTATTTAAATTTCCGTTGTTTTAGGATGTTAATTTATTTTTTGACATTTAGAATACAAGCTGATACTACGTCATTAAAATATAGAAACAAATATTTTATTAGTTAAAAAATTTTGTAATAGAAGATAAAATTCTGAAAAATTGTTATTTGAACTTTTATCAAAAGTTTCTTTTTTTTCTTTCATCTACAACTTTTTTTTACATTTTTTTTTTTATAATTTTGAATAATCAATCATATGGATTTTACAAAAAAAATCTAAAATTGTCAAAAAAACACAGGCATATTCTCCCTAAAATCCCATTTTCCCTATTTGTCCCTAAAAGTACCGTATTTGAAAAATTTTCTCTAAATTTCCCCTATTTTTCACAAAAAAAATAATAGGTATAAAACTTTGATTTTTATGATAATACTTTTTAAAAATATTCATTTTCTACCCAAAATTTAATGAATTTATAACAAATGTTTGGATAGAATGATTATTTATCAAATAAATATATTTTTCAACTTTTTTCCATGAATGCGACTAATTTCAACTTATTAATGCAACTTTTTCGACATTTTTTTCATTTTAAAAAAAAAATTTTAAACAAAATACGTTTTTTTAGTATACAATACAGATCTTCCTCAAATCTTCTTTATTTTAATTATTTAACAAATTTTTAACTAAAATTCTACACTAAATTAATTATTTTTAATAATTTTAATGAAATTCTTCAGAAATAAAATTACCAAAAATGTTTAATTCAAAATCACTTAAAATTTAATTATTTGCAAAAATTTCAATTATTTTTAATGATTTTTATAATATTCTTCGAAAATCCAATTATCTGAAAGCATTTTTCAATTAAAAACTTCTGGTATTCAATTTTTGTATGTGACTTCTAATAAATTCTTTATAAACAGAAACTTAATAAACAGAAATTTCTTTATAAACGATTTTTCACTTAAAAAGTTTTCAAATTATTATATTTTTGTCTGCAATTTCTAATAAATTTTTTAGTAACAGAAATCATCAAAAATTTTATATTAAAAATCACTTGAAGTTCAATTACTTTCAAAAAATCTAAATTGTAAATCTTTGAAAATTCAATTACACTTTAAAAAATGTTATCTAAAATTATTTGACAAATTATTTTTAGTTCTGTAAAATTTAATTATTGTCTGAAAATTAACAAAATCTTTTGAAATTCAATTATTTCTAAAAATTTCAACTTTAACTCTTCCAAAATTATTTTAAAAAATTTTTTATTTAAAAATCTGTAAAACTTGATTAAGTATTGCCTGCAATTTTTTTGACCATCAAAACTAAAAACTATGATAAAATTTTTAATTCGAATAAATTACTTAAATTAGACTACAAAAAATTATAAAAATGGAACTTTAAGAATTTTTTCAGAAATTTGTCCTACTTAAATAAAATTTTGAAATTTTGTTTTACAATTAGTTCGATTCTGAAATATTCGATATAAATTTTCTTGACCATTACAGAATTAATAAAATGAATTTAATATCTAATTACATAAGTTATTTAAAGTAAAATATTGATTAACCAATTAAATTTTGTTAAAATAAAAAAAATCGATTTTTTCGACTTTTTTTGGAAAATAAATAGACTAAAACAACTTTTTTTAGCTTTAAAGTCGATCAGAGGCTTGTAAATATCTAAAATTTTTGATGTATTGAATTATTTCACTACACTTCGATAAAAGTCGTTGTGAACTTATCTAAAAAAATTATAAGAAATGATTTTGTAAAATATTTTTGGAGTAGAAACTTTTGAGTCAGGAAATGGATTAAGTTTTATAACAAAATTTTCTATATCAAATATTTTAAACTTGTTATTTATAAATTAATTTTATAATGAAAATTCAATTAACAAAGAGATACTTGAAATAACTGCCTCTAAGAGTTAACAAAAGAAAGTGTGATGTGATAATGATCATATTCATTAAATTGAGAAACCTCAGTTTCACTGATTTGTAAATGAAAAATTATAAAATATGTTTTCGCAAAACAAAAATACCTCAAAGCTGTACTAAATTTGTGGTTTAGGAAATAAATTAACCCTTTATCTTTATTTATGTAATTTACATACTACCCTAAGAGTCCCCTATTTCCCCAAAAATATTTTTTAGGATCACTATGAAGACTGAAAACATATATATTTTTTTTTAATTTTAAAAACGTAGAACGTTTTTAAATCCTAAATAATGCTAGATAAATATTGTCGTCCTTTAACGATGGAAATTTAAATGGATTAAAATTTCAGTGGTAATTAGATTTTAAATGTTCTTTTTTTTAAATTTTATATATCTATTATTTATTGAATGTTTAGAGAGAGAAGAAAATGTTAAGTCGGACATTTTTCATGCATACATAACAATGTTAAGACAAACAAAACCAGCTACAGGCGTTTCTCTTGATCCCGATTCAATGGAGGATGAAGAAGGACCAATTTCATTGCTTCAATTGCAAGTTCCTCTGATTGTAAAAGCAGTGTATAGACAAATGAAAGAGAAAAGCATAAAAACAAGACAAGATTGTTTATTATTGCTTAAAGAATTAGTGTTAGTTTTGCCTGGTGCACTTACAAATCATATATCTGCACTTATTCCTGGAATTCAATATTGCCTTGGAGAAAAAAATTCCTCCTCCAACATGAAAATTGATACACTTGCTTTTATTCATATTCTTTTAATTACTCATCATCCTGAAGATTTTCATGATCAAATGTCAGTTTTGGCTCCTCCTATTATTGTCGCTGTTGGTGATCCATTTTATAAAATTACCGCTGAAGCTCTTCTTGTATTGCAAGAATTGGTACAAGTTATTAGACCTCATGGTACAGTATATATTTTTTTCATTTAAATTTTCTATATTGTCATTATTAAATATTGTTTTAATGATTTTTATTTTTTCTAGATAAAGTTTACAATCATGATTTTACATCTCTGTCAACTGATATTTATCGTTGTACACTTTTAAGATTAAGAACGGCAGATATTGATCAAGAGGTAAAAGAACGAGCTATTGCTTGTATGGGTCAAATTTTGGCACATTTTGGCGATACTTTACATGATGAACTTGTTGTATGCCTTCCAATATTTCTTGATAGGCTCAGAAATGAAATCACTCGGCTTACAACTGTTAAATCTCTTACTTGCATAGCAGCATCACCTCTAAGAGTTGATCTTAAGTCTATTATGGTAAAAAAAATGTTCTATTCTATATTTAATCCATTATATTTCGACTAAAGTCATTGCTTACTAAATGAAAAGAATTTTATTAAAAATTTAATTATTTATTGTAAAATATAAATTTAAAGTAAAAAACCATAAAAAAACAATTATTGGAATTTACTAAGAATGGATAAATTTATCAATATTGGTCCCGAAGCTATTTTCGAAGATAAAGCGGATTAAAATTTTCGCATTTTTGAGGCTATATTGACAAGGGTTTTTAAATCAATGTGAATTTGGTTCAAAGGTGTCGACCAATTTCACATTGATTTAAAAAATTCACAGTTTTCAGCACTTTATTTATTTTAAATTAATATTTTACAATAAATAATTAAATTTTTAATTAAATTCTTTTCATTTCGTGATCTTGATAACTTCGAAATTATTCCTGCAAAGTATTATAATTTTTAAAAATTAATTAGCAACGCCTTTAGTCGAAATATAATGAATTGATCCATTTCGTAACTTTTTTTTTGGAAAAAAAAAACATTTTACATATTATTTATGTTTTAGGGAGATGCAATTCCTGTTTTAGGATCATTTTTGAGAAAAAACCAAAGAGCTTTAAAATTATGTTCTTTAACATTGCTTGATACTTTAGTTCAAAATTACAGTTCTGCTCTAAATTCGGAGCTACTTGATAAGGTAAAATAATTGCATTTATGAATGATTAATTACTTTTTATAATTTTAGAGTTTAATAATTTTATTGATTTATTTTAAAAAATCATATAACATAAGGTTACAGTTGAGCTTCCAGCACTATTGAATGAGAGCGACTTGCATATTGCTCAATTGACTCTTACACTTCTCACGACAATTGCAAAATTGCATCCTCTTGCATTGACAAGGGTCACTGAGAATATTTTACCTGAAATTCTCGTCTTGGTGAAATCTCCACTTCTTCAAGGTAAGTGAAATTTTTTTTTCATATTTATATTAAAATTTTTTTTGTGTAGTCGAGCACATGGTAGAAAATATTTTCAGTAGATGAGACTCAAAGTACAATCATATTGGTCAATAAATCGCTGTTTTTTAAAATTTAAGATAATATTAAACTTAAATTTCATCAGTAAAGTTTTTATTTCACAAAATATTTTTTCAACGTGAGTCAGACGCCAAAGAAAAATTCAAAAAATTGTTCTGCTTTCTTTTACTTTTGCCTCAAATAAATCTACTCCAGTTTAAATTGTATAAATACTTGGATACTGAAATCAAATACGAATTAAAAAATAATTTCTATTGAGTTTTATCTGACAAATTTTTCCAAAGTGTTTCTGGCGGCTAAAAATTGGAATTTAAATAAAACAAGTGACCACGAAAACTAATTGACTAAAAGAACATTGATTTATAAATTAGTACTTCAGCTTTTTAAACAGGACAGAAAATTACAATTTTAATTTTAATCACCCATATATATTAGTATCTATATATATTAAATCTTATTTTATTTGCATATTTTAATATTATTTTAAAATGTTATTTTACAAAAAAATAGGTGCAGCATTAAACTCAATGTTGGAGTTCTTTCAAGCTTTGGTTCAAGCAGGAATTCCAGGTCTTAGTTACAGGGAACTTTTGTCTTTGCTTGTGGCCCCAGTTAATATACCACAACTTCACAAACAGGCTTATCATTCTTTAGCAAAATGCGCTGCTGCTCTAACAATTATGTGGCCACAAGAAGCTATTGGCGTTGTTGGACAATTTTTAAAAGATGTTCAAAATCCACAAAGTGATGCCAGACATATATTTGCTTTATTAGTTATTGGCGAAATTGGTAGACATGTGTAAGTTAAAATTTAATTGATTTTATTTTGATTTTAGAAATAGAAAAAATTGCTATAAACATTTTTTATTTTTATAGAGACTTAAGCAACATTAGTTCTTTGAAGTTAATTATTTTAAATTCATTTTCAACACACTCTGAAGAAGTAAAGCAAGCAGCCAGTTATACACTTGGAAATATCGCTGTTGGCAATCTTCCTGAATATTTGCCTTTTATTCTTAAAAAAATTGAAGCTCAACCAAAACGACAATATTTGCTGCTTCATTCATTAAAAGAAGTAATTATTCTTTAAGATTTTAATTTCTTATTAATTTAGAAAGAAAATAATTAAAAATTTAATTTATTTAATTTAATTTGTGTTATTTTGAAATTTTTCTAGATTATTACATGCCAATCAGCTAGTCCATTGGGAGTTTCGCATTTACAGAACTTTGTGCCTTCAATTTGGTTATTATTGTACAGGCACTGTGAATGTACAGAAGAAGGTACTCGAAATGTAGTGGCAGAGTGCCTTGGTAAATTAACATTAATTGATCCGTCAACGTTGCTTCCAAAGTTGCAAGAATCTCTTAACTCCACATCCGCATTAATGCGCACCACAGTAGTTACTGCTATTAAATTCACTATATCTGACCAGGTATGTTGTTATTTCAGAATGTTCAGCGATCCCTTCAATTTATTTTTAACCTTAAAAACATTAAAATCATCTTGAATTTTAAAACAAAACGTTCAATTATTAAAATTTTCTAAAATAACCAATTAATTTTAGTAAATTTTAATTGTTAAAGATTGTTTACAAATTATTAATAATAATCACATTTTAGAGAATTTTTAATACAAATTTTTTTTAATTGCCAATTTTTGAAAATTTTTATTTAAATTATTAAAAATTATGAATTTGTTAAAGAAAAATAAAAACCCTAAAAGAAAAATAATGTTGTACTTTAAAAACTTTGAATTTTTTTCAAAAGTTACTGGTCACTCTTTAATTATTTTTATTAAAAATGTTTAACGTCCGAGAAGTATATTAATTACAAGTTTTTGTATGAATAAAACGATAACATTCGGACCATTGTTGTTTTAATAAAAGTTTATTACAACGTTTCAAAATCTAAATGATTTCCTCATCAGGGAGTCTATCATATTACAATAAAATGTCAACAAACAAATACAATAAATAATAAAAATAAAATAAACTACAATAATAAATTAAATTTCAATAATTTTATCAAATTAAAACAGATGTCAAGTGATAGAGTTAAACAGTCATTTTGGTGATAAATTAAATAAAAACAACCCTAACATTGGAGAATCATAGAGTTTGGAGTTTGAATCTAAAATTTAAATTAATTTTACTATAAAATTAATTAAATAAAATAAATTATTAATTTTTAAAATTTAAATAATCGAAAGGAAAATTAAAATTATAAATACGTACCAATTAAATGAATCCATTTTTTAAAAATTAAACAACAATGGTCCAAATGTTATCGTTTTATTCATACGAAACCTTCTAATTATTTCTTTAATATTTTATACATGAAATGGGATTTTATTTGAAAATTATTTTTTGTGCTTTTAATTAAAAATTCATTTCCTAGATTTGTAATTAATGAAATTTTTAAAATTTTATAATACACAGCCACAACCAATTGATCCAATGTTGAAGCAGTGTATGGGCAATTTCTTAGCATCATTAGAAGATCCTGATCTCAATGTTAGAAGAGTTTCTTTGGTTGCATTTAATTCAGCTGCTCATAATAAGCCAATGCTAATACGTGATCTTCTTGATTCTGTTTTACCTAAACTTTACGCTGAGACAATGATAAAGGTAATATTATTCATTTTGCGCTAGAATATTTATATTTTAAAATATGAAAATAATTTTTGCTGTTTTCCTTTTTTTTTTTTGCAGAAAGAATTAATTAGAGAAGTTGAAATGGGACCTTTTAAACATACAGTTGATGATGGTTTAGATTTGAGAAAAGCCGCATTTGAATGTATGTACACATTATTGGATTCTTGTCTTGATCGAATTGATGTTTTTGAATTTTTGAATTATGTGGAAAACGGTTTAAGAGATCATTACGATATCAAAATGTTGACTTATCTCATGACCGCACGTTTGGCACAACTTTGTCCTACTGCCGTACTACAAAGTAAGAATTGTTTTTTTATCTCTTTATTTATTTATGGTGAAATTTTATTGACTAAACTAGAAGCATGACAAAAAACTGATTTCCAAACAAGTTGCAAGCTTGAAATTAAAAAAAAAAAAAACAATTTTTTCTTATTAATATTTTTAGGTTAATTAATAATCTATTGTTTTTATTATTAAACTAGGATTAGAAAGACTTGTGGAACCGTTGAAGAGTACTTGCACCATGAAAGTGAAAGCAAATTCTGTTAAACAGGAATATGAAAAACAAGACGAATTAAAACGTTCTGCATTGCGAGCCGTTGCTGCATTACTTACAATTTCTGATGCTGGTAAGAATGACATTTTTTAAATATTTTTTCACATGAATTCATTGATATAAATAGAGTGAGAAAAAATTATTATCTATTTTTTACATTTAGCAGAGAATTGAATTTATTAGGATTCGATATTAAAAGATTTAAAATTTTTTACTTAAAATTTATTTATTTGTAAGTTTAAATCTTTGAAAGTTATATTTCTATTGTTCTCTTACAATTTTTTTTTTTAATTTCAGATAAAAATCCGGCACTAAATGAATTTGTTTCTCAAATTAAGGCAACAGTTGAACTACAGCCATTGTTTGATATGATTCAAAAAGATTGCTCGGGTAATAATATGAATGAAACAAATGTTATGGATCAAAGTTAAAAGGAAATGTTTAAATCTTTTTAATTTCATAACGCTGCTAAAGATACATAATTTATGTTTTTTTCTATATATATATATATATAAATATATATTATTTTTTAATATCACCTCTAAAAAATAAGCGTAGTTCAGATTTAATATGATTTCATGTAACGCACCATGTATAAATTTGAAAATAAATTCATCGGATCGTATTTCATTCATTTTACAGCTTATTTTACCATAACTCAATAATTAGGGTCAGTTGGGGTAAATGGGGACAAGACGTTTTGGAGCTTAATTTACAGTTTTAAAATGAAGTTCAACGTCAATATTTTAACCTCAGATTACCTGCAAGAGGTTTTGTAAGCTTTTATCTTGACAATTGGCAGCAAGATAAAAAAAGTTATCGCTCAATGCATAAAAACTTGAAAATCATAGTCAAACTGTTTCAGTATTTTGTCGAGCATTTCAAAGAAAACAGACTTAAAAATCATACCAAATTTTTTTCTAATTCCTTATGACTCCCATAACAGAAATTCACTTGAATTTTTTGATTTTTGTTAATTTGGTTAATAATGACAAGCTGTCCCCATTTACCTTGAGTTTTCAAATTTTTCGGGTAAATGGGAACAGCTTGTCATTATTAACCAAATTAACAAAAATCAAAAAATTCAAGTGAATTTCTGTTATGGGAGTCATAAGGAATTAGAAAAAAATTTGGTATGATTTTTAAGTCTGTTTTTTTCAAATGCGAAACAAAATTCTGAAATAAAAAAAAAATTCAATTGGTTCAACTATTATATATCTACTACAAATTTTTTTCAAGTTTTTTTTATCCCTTAATACAGTAATATACTTATGGAAACTTTTTTCTTAAAACTTTCTTAGAAAATATGCTGTCCCCATTTACCCCAAATTTTATGAAATTTTCTAAATTTTGGGGTAAATGGGGACAGTCAGTTTCATGCGTTTAAAGATTATATAAATTTTTTTCTGCTGCATAAAATTAATCCTGGGAATGTAAATAACAACTTAAAAAAAAATAAACCTGCAAATATTACCTTTTAAAGGAAGAAACTTACGTAATTTGTGAAAAATAGCGATTTTGTCCCCATTTACCCCAACTGACCCTACTGTAATATTTATGAAAAAAAATTTAACTCTTTTTTCATAAAATTAAGTTTAATATTTCTCAATTTTTACTTAATTGGTAATTTTTTGTTTAAAAATTAAAATATTTTTATTTTATATTTATATATAAATATTTTATTTTATTAAATTAAACAACTAATTTGTATCTATTCAAATTTCTTATTAATGATTGAAGCATTAATAGTTTAAAATTTGGATATATAAATTAAAGTTTAGATGAATTGAAATTAAAAATATAATTAAAATGTGGATAATTTGAAACTTAAATCGATTAATCTTTAATATAGATTGAAATTTAGTTAATTTTAAATTAAATTAAAAATTGAATTTGAACCGAAAAAATATAAATTTTGAAAAGAAATTTTAAATATTTAATTTTTTTGTTTATAAATTGTTATATTTGTTTATAAAATGTTAAATATTAAAAAATTATTGAAAAATTAAACAGTTGCGACTTTATTTTTTTAAAGAATTTTGCTGTACATTAAATTAAACTCTTATTACTATAAGTATATACTGTATGCATACCTGTAAGATGGCTAATTGTACCTACTGCAACTAAAACGCAAACTAAAAAAAGTAAACGTGCCATTTTCATCTGCAAAAACAGGAAATATCGGTTCTTGAAGGGATGTTTGAATAAAAAAATACAATAAATTATATTACAAAAAAAAATAATTATAATAATTTTAACACACTGGAAATAAGTAGAATTAATAATAAAAAAAGCTACTCTGAAACTTCTATCTATTAAAAGGCAAAAGCAATATAAAATATCTAATCGAACGCAAAAAATTATAAAATATTTGAATTCTCTGATGGAGATATTTAATATACCTATATAATTTTAAAAAAATATTAAATTAAATTAAAAATCTTCAATAATATTAAATATTGCAATATCAAAATGCGAAATCATGATATTTAAATACTAAATAAAAACCATGTTTATAAAAAAAACATTTTTGTGTCAGCGACATCATATAATCGTATCCGAAAAAAAATTTGAACACAAGTTTATTATATTGTTAAAAAAAAAAAAAATATTTAGGATGATTGTACCTGGAATGATGATAAATAAGAAAGGTATTTATATTTAAATAATAAACAATAATTTAACTTTTTACAATTATTTAAATACATTAAGGCGTATAAAATTTTCTTAATTTCGCAGTTTTTAAATAACTGTATATTGTATATTTTCGCATTTTAAATAAATCACATTTTTGCCAACTAAATTGTTTAATTTTTTTTTTTTCAGTCTACGTTCACAAAAAATCGTGTGATATTTCCTACACAAAAATTGGCTTTTTAACGCAAAAATTATTATATTATTAAAAAAAAAAATAATTTTTTACATGTCTATAGTACGTCGAAAAAATGTATAGATATTTTATTAAAATTATGCATAACTTTCCTCACGAGATCAAAGCATAACAAAACGACTGAACACGCACATCCTGTCAAACGTTTACTAATGCTTTTGAAATTTGTTTACATCAAATAATAATAATTATAATAATAATTTCTTAATATGGAACATTGGTCCCTTGTGAAATTTAGATTACTTATGTTTATTTTATAATATTAAAAGTAAAAAGACAAAGATACAATAATTTCAGAACTTATATATATATAAATATATATATGAACATAATATATTTATTCTCGATGTGCAAAATCAAGTTAATAATCTTGTAAACGCCACTTTGGATTTTTAAAAATGTTCAATTTTCATTAAAAGATTAGACTGAAAAGAAAATTTTCCTCTATACAAATATATTTTATGATTTAAAACAATTCCAAAAATTGAAAACGAACATTTTTTTTGTTTTTTTTTTTGAAAAGATCAGAATTAGAAAATTTTGAAATTATTAATTAATTGATTAATTATTATATAAAGTTCTAAATATTTGCGAAAAAAAGTGTTGAACTAAATTTTGCAATAAATCAAGAATTTTTTGTTTCTTCATATCAAAAAGATACTTTCAAGTTTCAAAATATTCTAATTTGTTATAAGAGGGCAAATAATTGTAAATTTTTCTCTATATTATACGAACTAAATTTAAATAATGTCAATTAAAAACTATAATTAAATGAGTTTTACAAAAAAAAAAAAAAAAAATTTAGAAAAATTATTTTAAAAATTCTAATAGTTCTATTACACTTTTTTTATTATATTTCAAATTAACCATAATAGCTTGAGTTAATTTGAAATCCGCACACATAAATCCTTAATTTTATTATGTACGGAAAGTTACTTAAGATAGTAAATTCGACTACAGTTATTCATTTCGTTTTAAGTCATTTCTACATATGTATATCGTGAAAGTATAAATCATTTTCAAAATGAATGCCAAAAATTGTAATTTATAATTAAATTGTATAAAAATTTGAAAATAATACATCATTTAATTTAAAAAAAAAAATGAATTCTAAATAAAACTAATTTCTAAGTAGCACAATAATTTACAGTAAAAATAAAATGTCCACCCGATAAAAAATTTGCATACAAAGAGAAAAATATTTAATTTTACCAACATTTTTTAATACCTAAAATTTCAATTCTATTCATTAGTTTCAATAATTTTTTAAATAGCAAACTTCCTATTGAATGACATTATATTTTATTTACTGTCTAATTTCGCTAAAAGAAATTCACACATTAAACAGAAAATTTTCGTCTAAATTTCTGCAAAATATTGTTTTAAATTAAAAAATTTCTAATTTTTCAAAAATTATTTACTAAGTGTCTTCTTTAAAAAAAAAAAAACACACAAAAAATATCTATATATGTATATAAATTGCTATATTATAATACCGAATAGATTTAAAAAGAAAATTAATTCACAATAAAAAAAAAATTGGTGAATTAAATTTATCTTCTTTGAACACAAGACAAAAATAATATTAATATATTAACCGCGCTATCATAAAAAGATAACAATTGGCAGTGTAATTTAGGCAGTGTAACAATTTTTAATTTTGTAAATTTTGTGTGTTACCTGCATTATTGAGATAACACTATCGTAGAAATGTATTTTTTTTTCTTTACATTTCATTATATTATATACTTCTTTTTCTTCTCCTTTTTAGATAAAACACAGAAAAGAAGAGAACAGAGTATCTTTACAAAATTTTTTGAGAAACACCTCACAATACACATTTTATATATACATGTACATCCACGTTGACAATAGTTCGTCGTTCTTATTTTTTTTTTTAGAAAATTGAATATTTTTTTTTAATTGAAAATAAAGAATAGTACTTTATATTCTGTTAAAAATTTAACTTTTAAGAATTAAATTATTTAGATATGTAAGTTTGTGACAAATTTAATATGCTGCAATTTTGCGGAAATTTTTCACTCTTATTTGAATTTAAAAAAGTGAAGAAAATTAATTTTTACCGCAATATTGAAATTTGAAACAATTTTTTATGACATAATTAAAAATGTAAAAAAAATTTTGCATCTTGCAAACTTGGACGTACACATAATATTTTTTTTACTATAGAACCTGGTAACTTATGACGGAATTAGATTATACAGACGTAAATTGACAATGTTCGAAAAATTTCTCTAATTATTTACAAAATCCAAATGTGAACCGCACTTCATATATGTATATATATGCAATTAACGAAGAGTCGATACACACATGCTAAAAATACTAGAATGTACATAGTTAAAACTATAGGGAGTTATTTTTAATATAGCAGTATTAGTATTAATAGCGATAAAATATTCAAATAAAAATTAATAGTAATGATAATAGTTAATCATAAAAAAAAAATTCTTCATTACATTCATATACTGGCAGTGATCCTTAGCGGGTATGTGTATATGCATATATATATATATTTATATATATATATATATATGTTTATGTCTGAGAATTTCAACACTCTCAAGCTCCTAATTTCATTTACCAAAATTTTGGACCTTTTATATATACATTTCAAACAAAACTGATTCTCTTAATGTACAAATATACTTAAATCTAAAATGTATACACATTTATTTTTATCACAATGTCAAATACCGACGAAAAATTAACGTTTTTTTTTTTTTTAAGTAAATGACATTCTATTCCACTCTCTTATCGAATATAAGAGAATTCGTCGTGCTTTTTGAAATAGTGATTAAAACTTTCTTTTCCTCATTTTTTTTTCTTTCAATATAATCAGACCACAATGCGTAGTATCAGAAATATATTGTAGTCTATGCATTTTACTTCATTTGGGATTAACAGTTCATAGTGAGAAAATAAATTTGTGAAAATTGAGAGAACAAAAAAATTAATCAAATATTTTTGACTCATATCTCAGTTTTTAGAATAATTTAATTTTACAATTAATTCATTTCTAATAAACAATTTAATTTCAAATTATTTGATTGGTATCCATAAATATTACAATAAAAAAATTTTTTAAATACAAAACAAAATGTAAATTCATAGAATTATCAAATTTTTATGATATTTCGTATCTAGGAGTATTTTTGATTAGAAAAAAAAATTTCGATTTTGAAATTTCACAAAACACGGACAGTTTTTACCCCGAATTTTTATGAAACAAAATTTTATTTAGCAGAATCAACAAAATTTCTATATATCCAAATTTGTATCTAAAACCATTTTAATTTAGTCGAATTCTCATTTAACAGAATTCTATGTGAATCGAATTTTTAAATGTTAAAATTTTCAATGTAACGAATTTTTTATTTTATTCGTACAGAATTGTTAATTGAAAACATGATTCTTCCGACAACTTGACAACAATTTTTGTAATTTTAGGCCTTTTTTTTGAGAATTTTAATAATTTCGAGTTCTTGAATAGATTCGAGAATATAAACATGTCAAAAATTTGATCTTAAGTCTTTAATGTTTTTTTTTGTCCTCGAGTCATTTAAGAATCAAGAACAATTTAAGTTATCAAATTTTTAAGTTCTCAAATTCATTCAAGAATCTTATTGGAGTTGTCGTCAATTTTAATCACGATGTCTCCTTTTTTTGTAGCTCTTGCTATTAATTAATTTAATTTTTTTGTTACTAATTTTATTTTTAATTGAAAATATTTCTCAACAAACACTGGAGGAATTATTAAGAAATTGATAGAAATCAAATGGGAAAAAATTGATAATACTTATATTAATATTTCCCTTTTTTCTCTTCTTTTTCTACTCGAAAAAAAAATCGAAAAACAAAAAAAAATTCCATTTACTTAGAGAAAAATTAAATATTATTTCTAGTTAATAAAGTTATAACTGTGAATCCCATTGAGTAAAATGTGACATGACTACAAGTTTTTTTTTTATATTTTCGCACTCAATATATTAGATTCACAATGTTCTTATTATGTCTTGTTGGAAGGCGGTATAATTAAGAAAAGATTGATAATAATAGAGGCCAAAGGTTTAAAGCTCGTTGATTCAATGTTCAACGAGTTTTCGCTTTAGATCAATATTCTAGAAATAAAGCGAAAATTCAGAATTGACAAAGAATCAGTTTAAAGATATTAATGGATTCCTAAGGCCACTGAAGTGATTATCTCCTGGTAATCGATATACTTGTTTTAAAATCGATTGTGTTTCTCTATATTCTTTTCTACTTCCGCTACTCTCATTTTTCTTTTTGTTGTTGTAATATTTATGATGAGGCACTTGCGAAGTGGAGCTCGAATTTCATGAAATTGCGCTGTTTGCATTAGGAATCTTTCATCATCAAAAAGGACAAATAGTCTATTTCGATGCACTCAGCTTTACATTACATATAATAATTTATGTAAATAAATAAGCAGTACCTTTAGTTGTTTTGTTCGATATAGTACTAAATGTGTATATAATAAGTCTTCATTGTTTTTCATGAAATTACTGCAATATAGTTGTTTAGTTTTTTTTCTTTTTTTTCTTTCATTTGATATCTATTAAATATTGCCTTTTTTTTCTTTATTGCCTCTAATTTTTGTTTGTCCTCCATTTTTTTTCTTGTAATTTTGTTCTGACATTCCATTCGCCCCTTGTTGAAGGTCTAGAAAACATAGGCAAAATAATTTTTTTTACTTCCTATTACGTAACAGTTTGTTTCTTCTTTAATGATGCGACATCACGAATTTTTCATTGGTTTTCGTCCATGTTTTCGCCTTGCTTGAGGTGCTTTATCATTATTAATGGCAGGATATAGAGCATGATTAATTTCATCAGGACATAAGGTTGCCATTTTACGAATTTCAACATATTTTGTTCCTTGTACTTCAGTTTCGGAAACCCATTCATCAGTAATTCTTAAAAGTAAAACATATTTTTATAAATATCTTCTAATTTCTTTTTTTCAATTACTTCAAAATTCAATTATATGAAAAATTGTTTTTTAATAATTGTTTTCATTATTTTGTCAATAAAAGTATTTTTAAACATTGTAAAATACATCAAATTCATTTTGGTTTAAAAAGAATAAATTATTTTGAATCAGGATTGACACAAAAATATTATTTTGTTTTTCCCTGAGTTTTCTTTAATTTCTAGTGAAAATTAAAATTTTTTCCCTCACTCTATAATGAAAGTATTTTAAGAGGTTATCAATAACAGGCCTCGGATTGCACGATTTTTTCAACATTTTTTTTTTATTTTTAAAATTGAATTATTAAAAAAATATATAAACTTGAATTGTTTGTAAAATTAATTATTTTCAATAAATTAAAACAAATTTTTCGAAAATTACATGATTTAAAACAGTTTTCATATGAAAATTTACTAAAATTCAATTATTATCTAAAGTTTTTAAAAAAAACTTTCACCAATTCAAAATGAAAAATTCAATTAATAATTTCCTAAAATTCAATTATTATTTCTAAAAATTTTAACTCGAACTCTTCTAAAATACAATTATTTCTAAATTTTGTATCTAAAATTCTTTGTTGAATAATTTAATTTTAATCATTTAAAGCAAAATTTTCAAAAATTCAGGGAAATAAAAAGTTTTTTTAATTAAAAATACTCTAAAATTTTATTATTCTTTAAAGTTTGTAAAAAAAATTTTATTAAAGTTTCAATTTATAATCTTCTGAAATTTAATTAGTTTTAAAAAATATTTTAACTCGAACTCTTCCAAATTCAATTAGTAATTGAATGTTAATTCAATTAAAAGAATTTTTTCCAAATTTTTATCTATATAATTCTTTGTTTAATTAATTATTTCAACAGTTTTAATGCAATTTCTCAAAAATTCAATTATTTAAATCGTTTTTTAATTAATGTTTATATTTACAACAAAATTGTAATTTTTGAAATCTCAAAAAATGCAATTATTTCTAAAATCTTAACTGTAACTCCATCAAAATTCAATTTCAGTTGAAAATTCTTTAAAGTTCAATTATTGTCTGAAATTTATAAAAAAAAAGTTTCATTAATTCAAATTTATAAAAGTTTCAATAAAATAAAATTTAAAATTTGTTCTGAAACTGAATAGAAATCTTGAACATTTTTCTCAAATTAATTCGGTGGTTTAAAAAGAAAAATTCTTGAAAACATTTCTTTGAAACATTCTTATTAAGGAATTAATAAATTTTATTTAATTTCTAATAACAAATTGTTAATAATAATTAAATATTTATCAACTAATTAAATTTATTGAAAATAAAAAAATGGTCTTTTTTTAGACTTGTAATGTAAATCGACTAAAATGACTTTTTTTTTCTTTCAAAAGTCGATTCGAGGCCCACAATTTTAAAAATGTAAGACAATAATTTTTAGAAGCAAAAGTTTGAATTGAAAATTTCAAAAATTATAATTTGATATTTTTCCAGTCCCTAACCCGTGGTAACCCTGTTAATTTTTATACTCACATGCCATGAGGGTGCCATCGTAAAAGAAATTTAATTTTTCCATCTTTCTCAACCCTTTTGGCTATAATCTGCAAAATAATTAATTTTAATGTTAATTTCATAATCAATTGAAAGTAAAAAACATTAATTTATTATAAATAATAATTAAAAATGGATAAAAGATTTTATTCTTTAAACGTACACGATGTATATGAGTTAATGGTAACACTATAGCGTTGCTATAATTACAGGAGAAAATTATTTACTTACCTGACTTGTTAAAGTCATAGAGTTTCCTGGAGTTTCAGCAAGTTTTCCTTGAGTTCTTGACTTTGCCAATTCTAGTAAACGATGTTGAAGTCCTTCCATTATGCCAGTGTCAAAATAATCGAATAGTCTTGCTGCATTAGAAATAAAAAGAAATTAAACCATAATATCAAATTTCCGAATGTATATAAATTTTTTCTAGTTCTCTGATATAAAAATTTTAAATTACGAACATTTATTTTGTAGACTTATATAAATATAGTTTAAGATTTTTATAATTTCTAAAACGTAAATTATAAAATATTTAACACTTTACATAAATTATACCTAAACAATAAAGGAAAAAAGTATCACCAACAAATTAACAAATGTTTATAATTCAGTGAATTTATTTTTTGTTAATTAATCAAATTTGTAAACATTTGTATGTTTTTTTACTTATAAGCTATTTGCAGGTAGTTGAAGTGCGTTATTTTCAAATATCAAATAATATAATAATGCAATCGATGCAAGATCGAAAAGACGGTCTGGAACGACCAGAGACAACAGCAAACAGAAAAACAAGTTGTTTTGTCTCTGGACCTTCTAGATCTTAGTGAACAGCCACGTGCATTTCTAAGTGAAATTAATTCAAAATACCACGTGAAATTTCACGTGTTTAATAACTACGCAGATTTCCACCTCAATATTTTCACATTGGTATAAGTTTAATACAACCTATATAAATTAATTTCACAAATAAATTTAGATAAATCTATTAATGTAAAGCAATAACTGAATCTTAAAGATTATATAAAAGTTTATATTACGCATTACTCCTTCCTTATTATGTGTCTATTGTTTATTACTTCTAAATACCTTAATAGTCGCTAAGGCAATACTATTATATAATCTAAACCTTTGCCTTACCGGAATTCATTCCAGCTGACGATATATATATATATTGAAATATAACCTTCGTAAATATTTCATTTATATAATCTTAAAGAGACGTTATTTTCAATATTATATCAAAATTAAAATTACTTTTGAAATAGTGAACGATTTTTAATATTCTTAAACTTATTTCAGAGGCAATTCTCAACACAATTTATATTATTGATTAAGGAAGAATCGGAACAACAGTTGTATTTTTGTATTTTTAAAGAAAAAGATGATTTAAATTTTAAATAATTTAATTTAAAAATTTTAAACAATTAGAATTTGCATTCAAATCAAAATTAAAAGTTTTTATGCATAAGAAAATATTTAGGTTAAATAACATAATTTCTAATTGTTTCAATTTTTTTAAATTAAATTATTTAAAATTTAAATCATCATTTTCTTTAAAAATACATAAATACACAGTTGAATTAACTTTTGTTCCGATTCTTTGTCTAATTCATTCTTTTTTCTTTCAAAAGTACCTAGAATGACGCAGTTTTTTCCAAAAAGTTAATAAATAACAATTATTATTAATAATACTATATATATAATAATTTATTTATTCATTTGAAAAATAACAGACAAAAAATCTGTACATCATTTTATATTTCAGAGATAACTACAAGAAATTGAATATAATATAATAAATAACAAATATTTACTTAAACAATTTAATGCATTTTATGTCACGCACAGTTTTGTCAGAATAAATATTTCAAAAATCAAAAACAAAATTAAAATCTTTTCAAATTCTATTTTACGTTTTGATATTTAATAATAGAAAATTAACTTACCAGACCAAGGTTGCCTTCTATATCTAAGACGTTTGCCATTTCTTCTCATCATTTTACCACTGTTTTCAAAGCTGCGTCTATTACTATTATTACTTGTTTCTGGCTGATTAAAATGACCATTGACATGTCTTTCTAAAGCAATCTAAAAATAAAATATGATATTTAATATATATAAAATTAAAAGAAAAAACTCTGGATAGTTTTTAAGATTATCAAATAGAAATTTTACAAAAATAAACAATTGACGTTTCTAAAAGAGTTAAAAGCAAAATATCAAGTACAGGCCTCGGATCGACTTTAAGACACAAAAAAGTCGTTGTAGTCGATTTATATTAAAAAAATGTCGATTTTTTTTATTTTAACAAAATTGAATTGGTTATTGAATATTTTACTTTAAATAACTAATTTTATTAGATATTACATTCATTTTATTAATTCTGTAATGAGAATAATTCTATAAAAACATTATCAAGAAAATTTATTTCGAATATTTCAGAATCGAACTAACTGTAAGACAAATTTTCAAAATTTTATTTAACTAGGACAAATTTCTGAAAAAATTCTTAAAGTTACATTTTTATAATTTTTTCAAGTCTGATTTAAGCAATTTATTTGAATTAAAAATTTTGTCATAGTTTTTAGTTTTGATCCGGTCAAAAAAAATTTCAGGAAGATTTAAATGTTGAATTTTTTATAAATAATTGAATTTCAAAAGATTTTGTTAATTTTCAGATAATAATTAAATTTTACAGAACTAAAAATAATTTATCAAATAATTTTAGATAACATTTTTTATAAGTAATTGAATTTTCATAGATTTAAAATTTAAATTTTTGAAAAAAAAATTGGATGATTTCTGTTAATAAAAAATTTATTAGAAATTGTAGACAAAAATACAATAATTTGAAAACTTTTTAAGTGAAAAATCGTTACAGATAGTTGAATTTTCGGAGAATATTATTAAAATCATTAAAGTAATTGAATTTCAGGAGAGTTATAATAATAATTATTAATAATATAATTATTAAATTTCAAAAAATTTTAGATGAAAAATTATAGAAATCATTAAATTTTATAAGCTTTTAAAATTTTTTTTTTTTAAATATTTGAAAATAATACAATTTTAAAGAATTGTGTTAAATTTCAGACAATAATTATAATAAGAGAAATTTCTAGTGTTTTCTGTTGATGAAGAATTTATTAGAAATCACATACAAAAATTGAATTCCAAAATTTTTTAATTGAAAAATGCTTTCAGATAATTAAATTTTCGCAGAATATTATGAAAATCATTAAAAATAATTAAATTTCAAGTGATTTTGAATTACAAATTTTTTGTAATTTTATTTGCTAATTTTTTTAAAAATTATAAACAATTATTAAATTTCATAAAAATTTTAATTGAAAAATAGTTTAAAATAATTAAATTTGTGAAGAATTTCATTAAAATTATTAAAAATAATTAATTTAGAGAAGAATTTGCATTGTATACTAAAAAAACGCATTTTGTTTAAATTTTTTTTTAAAATTTCAAAAAAAAAGTCGAAAAAGTCGTATAATCCGAGGCCTGCAAGTAAATTTTCTTATTGCTTTTTTTTCAATTTCTTTAGTTTATCGATTAAATCTATAGTGGAACGACATTAGAAGGCTAAAAATGATTTTGGATAGAGTTACCCCAGGTAAATCAGCCACTTTGAAAATTTGTAAAAAAAAAAAAAAAAAAAAATTAATAATTATATTTTTATACCTGAGAACTGAATCGACTTCCGCAACCATCAACTATACATCGGAATGGTTTGTTGCCTCCATGTGACATAACATGTCTCTCTAACCATCTTCGTGAGCATGATGTTCTTCCTTTTACTTTACATCCTTGCCAATGACATACGAAATTATCACCTCCAGTTTGTGTATTGATGTGTGCAACCTTTAAAAAAATAAAACATTTTATGTTATTTTACCATTAATCTATTACCGCTCACGCTGAGAGAAAAAGTCCCACTTATTTTTAAATGTACATTTCTTTTTTTCTTTACTATAAAATTAATTTAATTAATTTCGTTCTATTTGTATCAAATACTATTAACAAGAATAATAAATAACGATTATCAAAAACAATCTTTTTACTTATAATCTGTGAGAGTTTTTCTCATCGCATAATTAAATGAGATCTTTCAGGAGATTTCGACATCGGTAATTGTCGAGTAGTATTCTTCATGGGCCTCATCTAGTAGGTAGAGAGCCCTAGTAATGTTGGCAGCGATGTAAATAGTAACACATAGTATATTTAATTAATTTCCTTAATAATTATTAATTTAATTTTCATTATATAACTTAGGAAAATTTCTTTTTTCTTTGATCTTTGTTTATTTTATTTAACTCTTTTATTTAATTTATTAGATAGTATAAAATTAATTAAATTTTTATTTAAGAATGAGTACAGGAAAAGTTTTTTTTTTTTTTGAAATAAGAAATTTTTTTTTCCTACGATAAAAGAGCAAATTCATAAGTTTTTTTTTTTTTTTTTTAAAGAACTTTCATAAATGATACTAATAATAATAATTAAAGAATGTTCAGGATAACAGACTTCACAGCATAAAATTTGCTAATAAAAAAAGGGAAATAGGGCAAAATCTAAATGTATATTTTCCTTAACCAAAATGCTTTTAAGTTGTTTTAAATTACACTACCGATGAAAATTTTGAGATCACCAATTTTGTTTATGAATAAAAAACATCTTAAAACATAGAAAGTATAGAAACCAAAATTTGTATTTCAAATTTTTTTAAAAGATATAATAAATTTATAGAGAAAAGTGAGATTTAAAGGAGAAATTTTCCCAGTATAGTAATTAATTTTCTTTTTTAAATGTCATTGTTAATATTTTCTTAAAATTTAAATTGCATACATCTAATAAATAACTTCTAAACTAATTTTTTTCTTGAAAAATGCAAGTAATTTTTTATTTTATCAAACTAGAAACCGTCCTGTAAAATATACAAAACTTGATTTTATTCATATTTTTCAAAGAAATTGAAATTTTTAATTTATTTAAATTAAATATTTAAATTCATTTTCTGATAAAAAAAATAGAGGAAAAAAGGGTAAATAGGGGAAACACTGTGAAGCCTGGGATAAATTAGGAATTTTACAAGAGAAATACTTATAACTGATTGAATGTAGTTTTTTTATATTATTTAATTTTTGAATTGAATTTATTTTTTTACTTGTGACACGAGAAACTGTAGTTCTTAGATTTGAGAAAATCGAGAATTTGCCATTAAAACTGAAATATACACATTTTTAGGGCATTATAGTCGAATTTGTGTCTTTGTGTAATAATTACGAATAAAGTCGTTTACATACTTTTTTAAATAATTTTGTCAATTTAATAAAAATTTACAAATTTTTATTAAAAAAATAACTTTTAACTGGATAATTTATTATTTATATTTTTAAATGAACTTGAACCAAGAATATTAGATATACATATTTATACATTTTTGTACTTTATAAGAATTAATTTCTAATATAATATTGGGTAAATCTTACTTAATTACGTCTTACTTTCCTATACGTATTTATTTATTTTTTTTTTTTTAATTTTATTTTATTTCTATTATCCATATGAGAGAAAGATAATATAATTTAAGACTGATACTTACAGAAGTTAATAATGAGTTTATTAATTTTTCATATTCAAAAAGGACTTGTTTAATAATCAATTTTTAATTATTATCTAATGAGAATTAATTTAAAAAAAAGATATGTTTTAAACTAGATTTTTTAACTGATAAATACACTCTCAATGATAGTTATAATGAAATATGTAAAAATTAAAATAAATTTTTAAATCAGTCCTTCATTATGAATATGAAAAAGTAATAAATTAATTTTTCCAATAGCTGCGAGGGAAATATAACTTTGTAAAATTAGTTAAGAGACGACAAATTTATCGATTCTTTGTTTACACAATATTTAGGACCAAATTGCAAAAATATGGTCCAAATGTTAACAAGTTTCAGGCAATTTTGAATATACGTCTTGAGGTTTTGACCAGAATTTTTAACAATCTGGTCCACTGTAAAATCGAAGAAATCTTATAAGACCTCAAAATCGATGAATTTGTCATTCGTTAACTAACCTACGAGGTTGGTACTTAGTAATTAAAAACCGCGCAGTAATTGGAAAATTATATAACGAGTGAGAGATGGCCATTCCCAAGAAGTGGTATAAGGAGACCTCACGCCCATGGACGTTTGCAGCGACAAAAAAAAAAAAAAGTATTATTTTAAGGAAATATTTCTGAATGATCTAAAGTAAACCCACCAGCAGAGACAGCGCCATTGCGGCTAATAAATAAACTACTTTTGACCAAAATGTTATATTCCCAATTTTTGCATTTAACAGCCCTTTCTTATTATATTTCAAACTTCTCAAAAAAATATCAGATCAATATTTTAAGAATAAAGTTCCCGTAAAAATTATTTTATAGCGATGACGTAACCTAACAATCGCAATGTGTAATTTTAATAAAATACATACTTTCAGAGACGCAATCTCTGCTCGAGGGACAATTATAATAATGGTAAAATTTCCATATAATTTAGTTTATATTTTATTATTTTTTTGATCAACTCATTGAGTTATAAATTAACAAATTTTCCCAACCTATGTTACGAAATTGTTTCTATAGAGTTCAATAATCAATAAATATGTGTAGGTAAATTAGAAATTGTTTAAAAGTATGAGAGCAACCATCTTCAAATTAAAGTTAGATAACTTAAATAAAATTTCGGTAATTATGCAATTAAAGGGCCGATATCATAGGCCCTTATTATTATTATATTATATTAATATTATCATATTCTGCCGATATGATAGGAGCCCCTTAACTGCATAATTACCAAAGTGATCAAAATTTCTTAATGTAAAAAATGGAGCGTATGAATTTTACCAATTTACGAATATTACGAACCAGAGGAAAGTATTGGATTAATGTTTAATTAGTTTTATAATAAGTATTATTCCAAGGCATTACGAAATTTCTTTTCGAGTCAATGAATTTTTATTCGAATCTAAATTTATGTGTAACTAAACCAGGTTTTCAATTAAAATTTAAAGAAATTTAAATTTGGATAATTAAAAACACATATACATATATTGAAATTTGGATCAATATTGTAATTCGCATCCTTTGAAACATAAATCAATTAAAATTCTCATAATTTGAAACTTAAATCGATTAATCTTTATTAAAAATTGAAATTTTTAATTAATAAATTTGTTTTAACAAATAAAAATTAGAATTGATTGAAAATTGAATGACTTGAAATTTAAATTAAATTTAAAATTGAATGGATTAAAATTTGTCTTCAACAGATTCAAATTTGGATAAATTAAACTTTCTATTTATGATTGATTAGAATTAATTTAAATTTAGATCGATTAAAATTTTATTCAATAATAATTGCTTCTACTAATTTAAATTTAGATTTATTAAAATTTGGCATAAATAATTTTTAAATCGATAATAAATTTTGATAAATTCAAGCTTAAATTAATTAAATCATTTTTAGAAAAGATAAAAATTTGCAATTTTATGTTTTCTAAATTAATATAAATTGAGGAATGTTAAAAAAAATTATTTTTAAACAAATAAATAATTTTTATCATTCCTGAATTTAAATCAATGTATTTCAAATCTGTATTTTAATTTTTTTGAATCCAAAAGATTCACTTCGTGAAGTAAGAAATTAAAATTATTTATCAACATAATTAGGAAAAATGTTTTCCCTATTTTGTAACTATGTATCAATATTTGTAACAATATTGTATTGATTCATAATGATTGGATAACAATTAATTTGGAGTTTCATATAACTACTATCATCGTAAATTTGTCTTTTAACATTCCATTTTATGTGTGTAATTAAATTCTATTTTTGTTTAAAATGTATAATTTTTATAGATTTAAAAAAAAAAATATTGCTTAGCAATATGACAAATGTAGTTTCAGGATATATTGACAAAAATGCTCTCTTTAATTCGAATCAAAAAAAATAACTGACAGAGTTTCTTGCCGTTTCGTGTAAAATACCAGGGCTGATAAAAATCATTATTTTTTTAATTAAATAAAATTTTGAAATCAACATTTTTAAAAATTTTATTTTTAATGTTGTTTGTTTTTTAAAAATTACTTAAACGTTCAATTTAATAATACAAGCATCAGCAAAATATTTTTATTTTTAGAAAAGAAAATAACATTTTTGAATTAAAAATTAATCGTTTAAATAACGATAACTTTTGTTTAGAATATATCAGAATTTATATATTATATACACATTTTAATCTAAAATTATCCTAAAAGAAATTTGATTTTTGAAACGTCAATAACTTTCAGGGTGACCGCTTTTTTCATAAAAAAAAATCCACTGGTCATTTCCCTGTTCATGAATTATCCGGTTTAAGTCATAAAGTTATAACTAAAGCAAAAAAAAAATATATATATATATATATATATTAAAATTTGTTATTGTAAATTATCTGCAAAAAAATATTAAAAATAATCCTTTGATTTAAATCATTGCAGACCTGGTAAATTCATTTCCAAATTTCCTTTAGTCTACTTCATTTTAATAAAATTAAAACAATCGAATTGAATGTAGAAAAAAAATATTTTTACCAGCATAATATTTTTTTTCCAGTTGAATGTCAATTAATGAATTATTATTAAGGAATAAAAATAAATTCTCACCTGTAAGTGTTCGAGTAAACAACCACTCGATTCAAAAATTGCCTCACATTTGTCCCATCGACAAAAACCACTACCACCTGACGATGATGATCTATCCTTATCAGGTGTTTGCGCAGGAAATCTAATAGTAGTAGGTGCCGAAAGTATTGGTGATAATGGAGGTTTTGTTTCTATTCCATCTCTCGATGAATCCTCTTCTTCATCATCTTCCTCTTCATCAGGAAGAACATCAACTTCCTTTTTATTTAAATTTGACGCTATTGAATTTCTCACAAACAAATGATCGCCTTGTGATATTAATGATGTTGTCGATGTTAATAAATTATTGCTCACATTATTATTTTCATTAATGCATATTATATTATTCTTAAAGCTAGTAGTTGATTCTGAATTATCATCAGATGATGATGACGATTTAAGAGACGTTCCATTTCCTTTTTCCATTACTGAATTTGAATCGGAATTTAACCTGAGGGACGAAATTTTACTATTTGGCAGTGTTGATATTATATCATTATTTGTAACAGGCAGTGTTGGTATTGATTTTGGCAGTTTTCTTTCTAATTTCACAATACTTCTTGGTAATAGAACAAGAGGAGATTTTTTTGTTGTTGACGTTGGTATTGTTAATGATCTCACGTTCCAGTCTTTGACATTGGTTGTTCTTTTATTATTTGATAAATATTTTGATAGGCCACTTTTATTATTTCTTTGTACTGTCGATGGATGACGGAATTCAGTTGAATTTTTAGTAACGTGAACAGACATTTCCGTTGTTTTTTTAGTCTAAAATAAAAATTTGACAATAAAATGTTGAAAATTGATAATAATAATAATAATAATTTTTAAATAAAATTAAATTTCAACAAACCTTTTGTTGTTGTGGTTTTACTTGAGTCTTAAAGTATTCAGTGATTTTTCCTTGAGATTCTTGATGAAGACTCTTGTTCGTGGTTTTAGTTACTTGTCTAGATGATGATTCAACACGAGTTGATGATGTGACAATTTCTGGTTCGGCTTTTAATCTTTTAAATGTCGTGCATGCTGTTTTGGCAAGTGATGGTGTCCATGGCCATTGAGGCCTGGAATCATTAGGCAAAACTGGTGCAGATGGTGGCATTTTACAAGCCAAGGATGGAAGTGTAAGCCTCGCTGAGGCTGCACGAATTCCTAGTCCTTCGTCGCTACTTGTGCTACAAGGTGATCCTGGCTCTGTTATGTCACTTGTTCCACTGCTACTACTCTCTCCGTATGATACCGTTACGCCACTGTGAAAAATTATATTTTTTAAAAAATTAATTTACACAAAATAAAATAAATAAATTCACAATATTAGGACAAAATAAGCAACTTTATAGGCTAAAAGTTCAATTAAAAAAAAAGACAATGGAATTCAATAAATTCGTATTATACCATAAAAGGACGTATGATTATGCTCTAAAAATCATTAGTTAGAATTTTCATTTCATGGAATTTCATTTTTCATAATTATTTTTGAGCCGAATTTTTATTGGGTAGAATTTCATTGCATAAAATTGTCTTTCAGATGAATTTCAATTTGTTCGAATTATTATTTGATATAATTTCCTTATAACCGATTTTTCATACTACGCACAATTTTTACTTAATTGAAAAATCATTTAACAGAATTTCTAATTGATAGAATTTCCATTTGTTCGAAATTGCAAATGGCCGAACAAACAATCAACAGAAAAAATTAGGCGCGATTTTTTAAATCAAAAAATCAATCCATAAATTTGTGATTGGTTGATTTTAAAAATCGCGCCGAAATCTTTCTGTCGACTGTTTGTTCGGACAAATGAAAATTCTAACAATTAGAAATTCTGTTAAATGATTTTTCGGTTAAGTAAAAAATATGTAGTATGAAAAATCGGTTATTATGTTAAATGAAAATTCTGTAAAGTGAATTTTCGATTATGTATATAAAAATTCTATAATATAGAAAATTGTTTTGATGAAAATTCTGCAAAATACTAATTCAAACAAATAAAAATTCGACTCAAAAATAATTATGACAAATGAAATTCCATAAAATGAAAATTCTAATACTTATTCTGACTTATTTTTGTATCAGAAAATTGAAAATACGACAATTATAATTTTACAAAGGGTACAACATAACCTCAAAAAGTAACATTATAATTTTACATGGTTTTCAAGTTATAATTTAAAAACTGTTTGATTTAAAATATCTTAAAAACAATAATGGACCTTAAGTTATTTCATTATCCTAAAATGTGTTAATTTGAAATTCGTTTAAAATATCATTCCTAACCTAAAAAAAATTCAGTAATTATAATAATAATAATAATTCGAAAACTAAGTAGTTTAAAAATTTTTTCTATAAAGATTAGAATTTTGGTTAAGCATAGAACAAAAAAATTGCGATTGTTGTAAAAAATAGCTCCGGTTGACGGTATTGAAATAATGATATTTATCACTTCTTTTTTTGTCACAATTTACTAATGGAAAGGGATTAAACCAAGAGCATTAGAGATTATGTCTAATTAGTTAAAAATAACTAAAGAATTAATATTGTCAAACTAATAATTTCTGACAAATTAAGACAGGTTCGTTAAAATGCTATTAATACGTGAAAATTTAGAAAAAAAAACTATTGAGTTTTCAAGCACTCACACAATTATAACTCTCACATATTATTTAGTCCCTTCTAAACCCATGCACCCCTTTGCCTAAGGTTAATTTCGTCGTAGAGAAGTTTAACTGTATTAGAGCCCTAAATTAGCTCTAAATTCATATATGTAGAAGATTTTATAAAAGAAAAAAATATTATACTTGTAAGGGCAGTAATAATGTTTTTTTTTTTAAATTTCAAGAGCCCCTATGTTTTCTATACGTTATATTAAATATTAAATTTTAACATGTGAAAGAAAAGAAATTTATTTCAGCCATTGAATATGCTGTCATTTGAACATTTCGAATTTCGAACGTGTGAAACAAAATATAAAATAATATCTTTTTTTTCCTAAAGGCTGAAATATTCTTGAAAAAAAAATGTGGAACCTAAAACGAGAGAGGTTATGTTTAGTATGAGTCAAATTTAATTATTTCATTCATAATTTAAAAAAAATTTCCTTCGGAAATATATTTAAAGAATTATTATGAGTATTATTATTTGCTTCTTATTGTTATTATTATATAAGAATTAATATTTATATTTTTATTAAATTAAAAATTTATTGGAAGATTATGGAACGCATCAAAGCAATCCGATTGTCAGTGTAACAATCCTTTTTTTCCCGGACGCTGCGGACATCCTGTTAAATTTATCTAATTTTACAAGCTTAGCCATTAAAGAATGCTTTAATAATATAAAAAAAAATCCGAATTAGAGTTCACCCTAAAAAACTTCTTGAAAAGAAGAGATTAAAATTTGAATATGAACTCTTCATTTTAATTTAGTATTCATTCCAAAAATACATTCACTAAAATCGCTAATTAAAAATTAATCCATTTATCATGTAATCCAAAAAAAGGGGGATGAATTTTAATAACTAATAATTAATCTAACGTCGACGATTTAAAAAATAATTATTCTATAATTATGCAATGTAAAGAGTATATATATAGGGTACAAAAATATTATTTTATATTACCCATACTTATAAATCCTCACAATGTGAATTCTCACTTCTGGTAATTGTTGATGATTTTTGAATGAAAACGAATTCATAATTTAGTTAAATAATGAAATAAATTCATTATTTAATAATTAAATATTTTTGTCATTTATAAATTTCAACTATTGAAAATATTTTCAATATATTTTTACGCGTTGGGGACGAAAATTTTGGGGATACCGAAAACTATGAGGATACAGGGACGACTGCTGGAACTAAAACCAAATTGAAGTAGGGCCCCCTTTGAGTAAGAATGAGCTGCTGCTGCTGCTGCTGCTGAGGGGTAAGGGACGTCAAGAGGGGTGGCGATGACTACGAGGGTCGGTCTGTTTATCCAAACCACTTTGTGTCCTGCAGGATAGAGCTTCGATTCTATTGGCTATAGTTTCTAGCTGCTTCTAACATTCTTCATCTAGCTAGTTCAATTCCTAGTCTCTCCGTTCAATGAAATTGACTCCAAAATTAATTGCATTAAATTCATATGTTTAACATTTATTTTTGTCATTTATAAGAGAATCCTCGTGTATAATGTTGTCTGAACATAAAATAAAATTTACATCAATGAACGTATAAAAAAAATCATGTACGTTCAGTACCTAAAACTACATTGTATATATTTACATTTATTAGTACTTTCTCATTGCATCACTTCATCCATATGTCACACAGCTCACGCTGCTACTATAGCATACACGGAAGGCAGCTCATCTAGTCCTGCGTGCAATTTATTGTCATTTCAAAAGCCTCAAACAAACATTTTTTCACAATCAATAAACAATTTTTTTTCTAATCTTATTATTATTATTACTAATATAATAAATTACAAGTTTAGCATTTTCTAGGGGATGAATTTTTAAACGTGGTGAAATTTTGTTAAGTCATAATTTATACATTTTATATGTAAAATATAGTGGAATACGAATTTTTGTAGAAAATAAAATTGCGCTTATCACTTTTGTAATAATCATTTTTGATTGCTGTTTGTAAGATTATTTATTATGTTTCTGAAGTTCCTAAACGTTTAAAAGAACGAAAAATTTCTTTACTATACTGTCTAAAACTGAAATAGTGAAAAGTGAGCTACTAATTTAAATTAGTAAGAATTGTCACTAATTTTTAGTCACTTTTTACTAAAATTTTAGTCGAAAATTTTAAACTACTAAATAAAATAGTAATATTTGACTAAAAATTAGTAAAAATTCTTACTAATGTGAATTAGTAGCTCACTTTTCACTAATTCAAATTTATAGAGTATTTTTGAACTTCAAATTTTATTATATAAAATAATGCTTTTTCTGTATCCAAAAATAAATGAATAATTTTATCAAATGTTTAATGTATTTTATATTATTTTTCATTGTTGTAATTTAAAAAAAATTATTTCGTTCATTTGAACTTTCAGAATTTTAGGTACATTTTTTATTTCATTATTGCAAAAAGTAATAGTATAATAAAAAAAAATGTAATATATATATAATAAAGCTTAAAATATCCTATTTAAAAAAGAGACAAAAGAAACTTGAAAAATATTTAATTGTTCGCAAAAGATATGATGAAATTTGTAAATTTATAATTTATGCAAAACAGCCTACCTTGCGCCTAAAATTAATGGTTTTATGTCCAAAATAGAAATTGCAAAATTTTACAAATTTAATCATATCTTGTGAATAATTAAATACTATTTAAATTTCTTTGTCCTGTTTTTAAAGAGAAAATTAAAAATTTTACATAACATAATATGAATTTAAAATTTTTCTCTATAGTTATTATGTTTGAAACCCATAAACAAAGCTCTAAAATTAATTTATTAGAATATATTTTCATTTAGTAGAATTTCATTACCTATAGAATTTATACTTTTAGTCGAATTTTAATTTGTCAAGATTATTATTTAATCGAATTTTCAATAAGGAGGAATGGTACACATTAATATAACCTTAAAACATGAGAAATTGTTTTTTTTTAATAATTATTGTAAAATTTCAACTTTAATTGCTTTTATAAATTAATTTTTCTTGAACCTAAAAAAATCAATTTCACAAAATACTCAGAACTGTCATGATCTTTTTGATTGGATTTAAATTAAAAAATGTTTGGAATGATATAACCATATATAACTTATTTTGTCAAACATAAATTCTTTCAAGTTTTTTCTTTTATTGAACTACAATTTTTCTCTATTATTTATTACTTATTTATAAAAGCATTCTATTCAAAAAAAAAATTTTTTTTACATTATATTTTTATTTATTATTTTTTACTTTATAACTAAAAAAATAGAACTTTAAATAAAAGCATTCTAAAAACAATAGTAGAATCTTCTATAAAAATCTAGAGAATTTTCTATACATTTCTAGAAAATTCTATAAAATTTATAGGAAATTCTATAAAATTTATAGGAAATTCTATAAAATTTCTAGAAAGTTCTATAAATTTTGTAGAAAATTCTATAAATTTCTAGAAAATTCTATAAATTTCTAGAAAATTCTATAAAATTTCTATAAGAAATTCTATCAAATTTTGGGAAAGTTCTATAAAATTTTTGGAAAGTTCTATAAATTTTCAGAATGTTCTATTTCTATAAAGTTTTTATAAATTTTCTTGAA